AGGTCTGGTCATTTGTGATATATGAAATAATTGAAATTGATTAATGAAAATACTGAATTGTCTAGTTTAAAAGGTAAAATAAACTGCTGAAAAATGAATAGGGATGTTGCCAATTAAGTAATATTTACTTTCAATAACATTCTTCTTTTCTTTTCTTTTTTATTTTTTTTAACGAGTGTTTGCACAAGCAGAGGTTACATCAGCCCTCGGAGTGCCGGTGTTTTTGAAAAAAAAAGTCCATTTGTAAGCATGTGTGGTTCGAATTCAGGGCCGCTGGATTCGAACCCGGGACCTTTACCTTATAGTGATGAGCGCCGTGTCAACGCCTGAACCGTTGCGGCCGCCGACGTCCCTTTTTATTTTATTTTAATTAAAAATTGTATCACAATTAGTTAGAGATTATTATGTTTTACTAAATGAAAATTTAATTAATGGATTTTGACAAAATAACAAAATAAAAGGGTTTAATTCCATAATGTTGTTTATTGGGCGCAAAAGTTTTTTTAAACATATGTTTGTTGTTCGACCTGCAGATAATCTATGTAGGGTTCCAATCTTCGTAGAAGTCATTAAAACATTTTTTAAACAATTAATATCGTGTATAATGTACTATGTTAGCTAAAACTCTGTACACCTGCTAGGTGTATTTTCAATAAGGTTGTCACTAATTTCATAAGGAATTTCAATCCATAGATGGCGCAACGCCTTATTTGTTGCAGGTCAACTGGCTGCGGATGCTTGTCGAAAAGCCTTCTCTGTAACACCCATAAGTCAATGGGATTGAGGTCTGGTGACACTGGGGGAAGGGTAGATGGGACATTCCCAGGTTTTGTAAACATTGATGAACAACCTGCCTCTATGAGGTCCGGCGTTGTTTTACAGAAATCGAAAATCTCTGCCAATGAGATTTCTGGTTTGAGGAATGTATTGCTCGATAATTTCTTGGAGTGCGGTTTCCTTCAACAAAATGGAGTCCAGTTCGTGGTCCACTGTAAATCCCACCCCAGATCACCAAACTGTACTGAAGGGAGAACGAATTGGGACATTCTCTGTTTTCAGTTGACACTTTGGCGCCTGCTATTTCTATACAGACAGAAACGCGACTTATCAGTAAACATAACAGCAGTCCAATTGGTGTCCATTTCTAGGCGCTCGCTGCACCATATTCTCCTGAGTTGCTGGGGGCGGGGTGTTTCTGCAGGTCCTCTCAACCTGTTGTTCGGTGTTCCTCAACGTATGATGTTAGGCCAACTTCCCACAAACGATTACGAACAAAGGCCTTGCCGAAACATCTTGTACTTCATTCAGGATCTAGCGGGCACTATGGAAGGGGGTCCCGTCTTGCAGCAATGACCATATTTCTGTCCTTGTTTTCCACGGTTAAAGAGAATACAACTGGATTAAAATGGAGAAAAAACGAGAAAATAGATTTGTTTACAAAATGAGCAATCTTCATGTTTTCTATTCTTAAGTAAATCTGTTATTAAACATGATGATTAACATTTGTTTTTGTTTTTTATTTGTATTTTCTATTTTGCCAATTAACAAGAATATATCTGCTGATTTAAATAAAATTAATAGAATAAGAATAAATTACAAATATCCCTATTTATTTTTGATCAATTTATAACAAATTGGAACGATCATAATTTATAGTCATTAATTTCACATGTTTGTATGTACGAGACTTTACAATCTCTCTTTAAAGTCATCTTTGATATGAAAATTAATGTTTTATAATGTATACACAAATGTATAGAATATTTCTATAATTTGCCATTTAAGATGGTGTAATATATGCATTTGCAACTCGTATTAGCCATCTAATGGTTCTGGGTTCGAATTCCGGCGCAGCCCATGGCGTTTTAATTAAGAAAAAATATTGTAAAATGCTTTGGTTCCACGTCCGCAATCTCAACGGGTAGTTGAACGTGAAGAAGGCTTGCATGACAATGTTTACTTTTCCTCAATAAAGATGTCTACCTCGGCTAATTTCCTTATTTTTGTTTGATTTAGGAGGGGGTTATTGTTTGAAGTGTTTTGTTGTTCATCGAAAACATCGTAAACAAAACGTGCCCTAAATAATTTTTTTAGCTATTGACCATCTTTTCTATTAGGAATTGCTAAAACATCCTTAATTTTGGGTTTAAGTTGTGTTAGATTTTAACATCGTAAAGCACTTTCTGAGACAGAGAGTTGTCCATTGGTTGCAGTTTGTATTATCTCTGAATTGTTATTATTGCAGTTATTTTATAAATTAAAATAACTCGACTTGATCGTAACAACCGGTTGCTTTTTGCAGTATATCCTAAATAAATTAACATCTAATTGACGTTTTTTTCAAACATAAACTTTTAACCGTTTTATTGGCCACAGTGGGTAGACTTTAAATCCTACTGAAAACTTATCAATCTTTACTTTCCAAAACAATTATAGTCAAAGGATCGCAAAAAATGGCTCAGGTCCAGCTACGATTGTAGCATAACACGTATTAAAGGAAAAATTTGAAAAGTTTAATTGATTAGAATTGGTATAAACGCTTGTGTTGGAAAGCTTTTGTATACTGAAGGTTTTGGTATAAATTGTAATATTTTTTTAACATTAGCAGTTTTTTCTTTCTTCCTAATGCCAACTTCTAAGACATTTTTTGAAAAGCCGCCACCCTCACATGGAGTTAATAGAAATGATAAATGATGGAGTGAGTGTGGTGTTCAATCCTTTTTAAAAAGATAGTTCCTACTTACAGTAAGTTGTATTGCAACGATCCGGATTTCGAGCCTTTTAGCTCATCATCAGATTGAACGACTTCTACAACGTCTCTCGTCATGAATTGCCAAGTGAACCCGCTGATACCTCTGCCAACGCGACGTTCCAATTAGCAGCTGATTTTTTTAATGGCGCTCAATTTGAACGTGCGAAACGCAGAAATTATAACACAAATAAATATTATACTAGTAAATACTTAATGTTATTAAATTACTATAAGAATAATAACAATTAAAATAATTAGTTTAATTATTTGGATGTTTGACATTATTTATGTGCATATTTAAAATGGGTGGTAGATCAAAATCTGTTATATCATTAATGCATTTATCACCATGTTCAATTTTACATTTTTTAATTTCAAATTTCTCAAACTAATCTAATTCTTTCCCTTTGTCGAAACTATGTAACACTCTTGTATTTTGATTTGAATTGAAATTATGTTTAAATCTTTCTTTTAGATGGTCCTTAAATTCCGAAAATTTGCTCGATTTAGGCAAGTGTTCTTTTACTCTTGTTTTTATTTCTCTACCGCTTTGTCCTATATATTTAATATCACAATCATTACCATTGAGTTGGTAAACCCCGCTTTTTGCCAAGTTGTCTACTTTGTCTTTAGACCTGATGATGAGCTAAAAGGCTCGAAATCCGGATCGTTGCAAAACAACTTAATGTGAGTAGGAACTATCTTTTTAAAAACGATCACGGAGTTATTTTAATGTGTTAGTGGTTTTGCTTGTCGGTGCCTTTGTTGGATTCATTCTGCGTGTTTTTATTTTCCCTGACATTCTTTGCGATCATTTGATATTTGTCAAGTTGATTGGTGTAATGAATTGTCAATTTTTCTGATTAAGAGTTTTTTTATTGTTAGATATAATTATATACATTCAAATTTTCAAGAATGTTAATTTTTCTTCCTTTGGGAGGTTGTGTAGTAGTTTCATGTTAATGGACTGTGTGGATGGGTTTTTGTCGTGAGTAATGTTGCTTGACTGTCTTTATGCCTAAATAATCTTGTATGTTTTTCGTATCTGCATTTTTTAAATACGGAGATAACGTCCTGTCTATCCGATGTAGATATTTTTTTAAACAAAATCAACTAAATAATGTACACAATCTCATTAAAAAACGGCTAAATTTACCACATTTAAATACATAAGGAAATTGACAAATCTGTTGAGAAATTATGCATTAAAAAGCACTGACAATCAGTTAAATTTTGAATTTTTTTATTCTAATCTTTTCGCCGAAAGAACAAATTATTGTCCCGATCTGATCACTGTTATAAATAGTGTTTTGCAATTGGATGATCAATATCATTTATCAATATTATGAAGAAGTTTTATTTCTAAATGCTTTTTTAAATTAAAAGTAAAGTGGTTGTTTTTTTAAATATTTGCATTCGGTAAGCAAACAGTAACCTTAGTCAGGCAATATTTTATAATAAGCCAATAAACATTTCGATAATTTAGAAAACATTGATTTAAGGCGAGCCATAAATAAACGTCACAGCGTTAAAGTAACAATTCAACTTGTGATATCAGATTCCAAAGTGTTGGCACAAAGTTGTGTCAAGGACCAGCAGACATGATCGAGTGTCGCCATTATTCACTGCTTATTGGCATAAAAAAGTAATATTTTAGATATCTTCTCATCCCTTTTGCCTAAGCCGAGAATGAGTTTCAAAATGAAACACATGTTTTATTGACGCGTACAATTCGCACGTATATTTCGCTGGATAACGCAATGCGGAATATGTATTAATTATTTGTACGGATTGATTCATTTTGTAATATTTCAAACGTACTTTTACCACACGGTGAGTTAGTGTGCAAAACTTTGTAAAACCTACCGTCAAGATTTAACTAAAACTGGATGATTTAATTATATTTCACTATAATATAACAGAACATAATAACATCTTAAATAATTTAATAAACTTTTTCGCCTATAAACCTGTTTCGATTTAAAAAAAACAACTCACCCTAAATGTAATCAATCTTTATAGATTAGTTTGAATCTCAATGTTTGTATTGATGTATTTTTGCGACAATACAACAACACAAAACAGTTTTGCAATAAAAATAAATCATTCGTGTTCATAAATTGAAATAATTATTTTTAACAGTTTGTTAGAAACAATATCGATTTTTTATTATATAATCTTATTACTAGTATCTTTAATCAACTCGTTATAGTAGTTGAGGAGAAGTATGTTGAAAATAAACACTTACTGCTCTGTCTCCAAGGTTGCGAACCCTGCAGTGCAGATAGGCACTTTGCCCTACGGTTGTCGTTACCTCTCGTTTTGTAGAATTGTCAAAATAAGGTTGTGTAAATGGCTGTTCCCAGTAGCTGTGTGACGTCGGCAGATCTTGTAATCCTCCACCTGAAAATGACAGTTTAATTATTAGTTTTAAACGATAAAACTGGCGTTTAATATAGTCAAACCGTGGGTTTATATGGAATCAATACGATTATTTATGATATTAGAGAGAATGGAGGGCTTTTCTTCGTTCCATTAGCGTCTTTTAAAATAAATATTTTCTTTTAACAATCAGTACATTGTTTTAGTAATATTTACGAACGGTATGAGTGAAAACCATTAAACCAATTTAACTATATCTGTTATTAAATATTTCTACGATACTTCTTAATCTAAAAACTCTTTTAAAAAGTTAAAAAAAATATAGAAAACATTTTACTTACACGCAAATAATTAAGAAGATTAACTCAATTAACATAACTTTTCTTTATTCATAGCTGCGTGTTTCTTATTAAAAACCTTTTCGGGTGTTAAATTGATTTGACAAAATTGAATCTTGACTAAAGTTAGAAAGGAAGTAATGGCGAAAAGTTTAAAGATCTTACTTAAGAAATGAATTGTTTATTGCTTTAAATTTTTAATAGATTCAACTTTAATTGAGTAAACAATTGAAAACATCAAGCAATAATCGTAAAACTTAGCAAATTAACGCTTAGCAACATAAATTAATTAATAATGTAATTTGCTATTAATTAATTGACTAATTAACGTATAGTGTAATTAATCAATTAGTTTGTCCTAATTGCAAAATATTTTCACCGGCTGACGTTTCTTCTAAGGCGACACCCAGACAGATAGAGATGAGACAATGGAATAATTCAAATAATTAACAGAAATGTTTTAAAATAATAAACTTAGGAAGAATTATTCTTCGGAAATCGTGAGATGCGGTCTGGTGTGATGTTGGTTTCAGAAAAACATTTTCTTTATCGTGCCAACGTTTCGATCTTTATTGAGATCATCTTCAGGGCCTGGGATTTACAAACATTGTTTAAATATAGCAAATACATGTAGGATGGGGAAAAAAGTGATTTTATACAATGCAAAAAATATTTTTTTTATTCAATCAAAGTGTTTCTACTCACTCGAAGTGTTTGTTTTCTGCGTAATTGTGCCATTTTTGCGTGTCGTGTTGAGAGTGCCAGTGAGGTATTGCTGTTTTAAGTTTACATATTTTTATGTATTTATTAATATAATTTTTTTGCATTGTATAAATTCACTTTTTTTCACATCCTACATTTATTTGATCGAAACATTGGCACGATAAAGAAAATATTTTTCTGAAACCTACATCACACCAGACCGCATCTCACGATTTCCGAATAATCATCGACTAACGGTCACTAATTTTATGCCAAAGAATACGAAGTCAACAAATACTGGCGTGTCTCATTATTACAGGAGCAATGCATACCTGCCACACTAACGCAACGGAAACTGCAGGATGGGACGTCGCATCCTTACAAGTCTATGTACAAAATGTGGATTTTGAGAGTGCCAACAGGCTCCTTGAGATAGGAAGAAACAAAACCAAATCTAAGAAGAAGCCATCACAAAATTTTAACAAGAATTAAAATAAAGCAGATGGCTACAACGGTGTCTGACAAAACGAGAGAAAAGCTAAATTTTGACAGACCCTTCCGGACATAGACAATAGGGAAAAAAGGTGACCCCCAAGTTTCAAGAAGGGATCGAAGGTGGAACATAGTGTAGGCTTTGGGAAAATATTGCCGAACTTAACCCTATCAAAGCCGCCTGGTCTGACCCCAACGATTTCCCAAGCTGAAGTTCATGCAATACAACTCCGTGCACAGTTTTTAATAAAGAAAATTACGAAAGGTGCACAGACACACTCAAACAGCCATTCAGCCAGAAAGGGTTTAAATGTGTATGTTTTCAACTCCGAACTTGTCTGGGAGTGCCTAAATTGCCTAATGGCTCTGGGAAAGCAAAACAAAATTACCATAAAAAAGGTTCCCTGACACGAAAGCGTGGTTGAAAATGAACAGGCTGACAACCTAACCAAAAAGGGGCACAACCCTCCCACCCCCGATACCAGACCCCACAACTAAGTCTTTCGTTGTGTGTGTGTGCTTCAATTGTTACTGGAAAAATGGATTGAGAAAGAAAAACTCAAACACAGGACAAGCAGTCCAGGTATGAGGAAATGTAAGAGATTTATAAATCTCTTCAAACGGAAGGCGAAGGAACTCCTCTCTTTTAGCAGGCAGGATTTCAGGAAAATTATAGGCCACTATACATGTCACGGTCCTCTTAACTGTATCAAGAAGATGGGCAAAGTTGAAACAGAAACATGCCGACTCTGACAGGAGGAACCTGAAAAATCGGCACATATGCTTTGCTTTCTTTTCTCATACCAAAGAAGTTTCATTCAGAGGCACCAAGGATAGTGTACAGTTTTATAAGGAATAGCGCACTTTCCAAGGTATAGCTATATGGGTTCAACAATAGACTTGCTAAGGTCACAGTGGAGGAAAGAATTGTCTTCTGATTCAACCTATTAAAAAAACCTAAAAATAAGCATAGCAACCAACGCAATGAAAAAACTTTCCCACTAGTGGAACTTATATCAATATATTGACGCCCTTTAAATTTTGGTTTTAGTTATTCATTATTCAATAAAAGCCCTAATTTAGAAGCATTATCATCTGTGGGCAGTTTTGTAATTAAGGGATTTATTATTGAACCGGCAAAATTTAGTTTGAGTCCATGTATATTCCCGGGGTTTTGATGTTAATCAAATGCATTTTTGTTATCCTATCTTTCGCCCTGAAGATGGCACAAACCCTGCATACGTTCAGGTCATAGACTCGCAGATCAACACACCTTATCAACTTTCAGAGATTTAATGTCATTCTTGATAAATACTTTATAAAAATGCCGTTTGGCGTTGGTATTTTACCTTTTTACGATTGGTATTTCATAAAAATTAAATTAGAGTTTGCCCAGCATGACGGGACAATGTTTTTCATCATCTTTCCCAATGTCTACTGCATATTGATGGTGATAACATCTTCGATTCAAATAATACAATGTCTCTCCGTTAATGCCGTTACAAACACTATTTTACATATTGACCCTGATTTGAAACACTTGTCGACTGAATCTTTTAACTTAAAAATGGGTCTTTTTAATGAGGCCACGTTTTTGGTGATTTTGACGCGCCATTTACATCTTCTAAAGAACAATAATAGTGAGATTATTCGGAGATCGTGAGATGCGGTCTGGTGTGACGTAGATTTTAGAAAAATATTTTCTTTATCGTGCCAACGTTTCGATCTTTATTCAGATCATCTGCAGGGCTTGGAATTCAAACAATGTTTATAAATCCCAGGCCCTGAAAATGATCTCAATAAAGATCGAAACGTTGGCACGATAAAGAAAATGTTTTTCTAAATCCTACGTCACACCAGACCGCATCTCAAGATCTCCGAATAATCATTGTCTAACGGTCACTAAACACCACACAAAAATAATAATAAGGGTTGTTCTCATTGGAAACCAACTCATTTTTTTATCTGCAAAAGGATTCTATTGCCTACCATTTATATATATATATATATATATATATCAAGAAAAAACATTGAATGAAACATATACCTAAACATAAAATGAATATATTCAAAGACAAACAGAGATTATATTTAGAGAAGGAAGTAAGAAAAATATTAATAAAAACTGACAAAATTGTTCAAATAAAATTTTAATCTAACAAAAAATAACAAAATACCTTTAAATAAATTCTTAACTGAGAAATTGGCATTAGGCTCTAAACTTAATCTACCTTTGCATTAATTCCATCTACCATTCCAACATTCACCTTTATCAAAAAATATCAAAACGAATTTATAAAAGTGAAAGTTATAACGGAAATAACTAACATTATAATTAACTTTAAGAACAAATATAAATATAATGAGAAGAAGGAACAATAATGACTCGAAACTACAGGCAAACTAATTGAATTTTTAATGTTTTTCTTTTACTTATTTACTTCTGACCAGTTATCAAAAATTGAAAATTATTAGTTTTCAAAATTAATCATTCATTTCTTTAAACACAATATATTTTTTAAAGGATTACCACTTTTAGTTTTGTTTTTCTTTTTCGATTGTGAATTATTTTACACTATGTAATAATATATGGATATAATTCATATGGATAATTTGAAAAAGGTAGTACTTCCAAAAAGAAAAATGTATGTCTTTGGCATAGAATGGCAAAAAGTCGTAACCCAAAATATCATCTTCAGTCTATCACCGAACTTCTATATTGGCATAGAAAAATAAAACAAGGATAGTTTAATTTATTATTTTCTCATAACAGTAATTGTTGTAAGTTACAGCACGTACTTACGCAGTAAATCTCATTTATAATAATGAAATTTAATTATTAGTTCCAATCTATTTTAAGGCTATCATTAGGGCAAAACAATCCTACTAAATAAATAATAATAATAAAAGAATTGAAAAAAAAAAATAAATTTAAGATTGTTATACGCTGATGTTGACCTTAAAATAGGTCGAATGCTTGGCAGTGAGAATTGAATTTGTTTTTTATCCAGACTGTACCGAGATCCAGATTATTCGTGAATAAAAAATGGTCGATACATCTAAAATTTTAAACTGCAATTTTATAACTTGTAGTTAATAAAATACGAGTGATCAATAATTGACAACAATAACAATTGATAACAATTATTGTTAATTAACCAATAGTAGAATTGTTTAAATTGTTTACATGGATAAATTATTTATAACGAAGAAAAAAATATACTTAACAAAAAATAGAACTAACTCAGATATTGAGGACATGCTCCAGTAAGATAACAGTTAGAGAATGATTGTTGTCAGATGTGTAGAGAACTGCTCTGCAATATCTAGAAAAAAATGGTGTCTAGGGAAGCCATTCTTGGCCAATTAAGACCTCGATATTACCATGCGAATAATTATTTGCTTTAGTAAAGAAGCATAAATCAATTAGAGAAAACGATTAACCGTTCCCGGGCACATAATATCAAAGTTTAAGTGGAAAAGGGAAAA